ACCACTCTCCCCACTCACTCCGCAACCTGGCCTCCCACCCGGCGGCGCCCCCCGCTACCCCAACCCTGTCCCAACAGCCTCCCTGCAAGCCTGGCTGGAGTCCGCCTGGGCAGCGGGGTTCGACATGCTGGGCTGCGAGAGCCTGGGGGGCAAGATACAGGTGGGGGGTTTGGGGGATGGGGTTTGGGGTCGGGGCGGGTTTGGGGGTTGCAGGGAGGGGGGAAAGAAATTAAGTGGTACGACCCACCCCTGCCGACACGTCCAAGGCACCCAACGGGAGGGAAAGGGGAGAGGAAAAACCGTCGGGGGGATAAGGGGAAGAGTGTGTGTGTGTGTGTGTGTGGTGTTGAGTAAACACGGGAAAGGCGCGGGGAGGAAGTGCAATTTTGGCTGCATTTATGTCATGACAGTTTATTCTTCCTGCTTAATGTTACCACTACCACTACCACTACCACCGCTGCCACCCTCACTTGGAAGGTGGGTGTGTAGGGGGCTTGGGGTGCTGGGGCCGGCGCACACTCTGGCTGGCACCCCCAGCTGCTGTTTTTTCCAGCTTACGTCGCCTCTTCCTCCACGCACGTCAGTTCTTTGCTCTTCGCCGCCTTTACACCTACCTCTAGATTATTACGGTTGATTTTCCTGCTCTCTTTCCGCACTTAATTTAGTCTTTGGCGGCTAGGTAGGTAGTTTTCCGTTGTCGTCATGACTACTAACATCATCGCGAGGAATGTTTCTTCACAACCGCCGACTGGTTAGTTATGCTTTCTTTACATCGGCCGCAGCTCAGTCTTTCCTCCTTGGCATCAGCTTCACTCGCTCGTGTGGTTCGTCTTTTCCCCCCCTCCCCTCCCCCCTCCTGTGCCTTCCTCGGGGAACTGCGCCGGGCAGGGAGACCGCAAATGGATAGGTACGACGGAGGCCGCGGCGGTTCTAAGATCCTTCGGGGTCCGCGCACAAATCGTGGACTTTGAGGGTGAGCTATCTATCTACACCTGGTGCCGTGGTTTCGAGTGATTTGGGGTAGAAGTGGGGAAGAGGACGCGACAGTCTCCCCGAGGGGAACACCCCTTCTTCATCCCCAAAGTCTCTTCTTCGTCCCCTTTAGGGGAACCAAAGTCGATTTCATAACATGCAACAGTTGACGGTATTGGTGAGGAGAACCTCTTGCCTTTCGCATTCTCATGTCTCTTGAGCTCCCGAGCCCATGGCGGCGAAAACACGGTACGGTGTTGAATACCACTTTGGTGCCGTACATTACTTGCCTTATGCGTCTCCAACGCTTTTATTAGCCGCTTTGCACCCAACATCGCCTGACAGGCGTCGTCAGCGCCGCTACCTCCGATGCGCTGGAGGCGGCGGCGCCTGGAAGCGTTATCTTCACTTCCGACGGGCCCCCTGGCGGCGGTGGCGGCCGTAGCTACGGCGGCGGCGGTGGCAGCGGGGGTCTGGTATCAGTGCACGTGGCTGTCGAATGCGACCTGTGCGGCGCCTGCCCCATCCGAGGAGTTCGACATCGCAGCCTCTCACGGCCTGACTTTGACCTCTGTGACACATGCAGAGCAAGCAGTCGGGCCGAGGTGGCGGCAGCGGCGCCGTACGAGGAGACGGGCGTGGCGGCGGTGGCGGCGCCTCAGGTGCCGCCGTCTGCTGGCGCCTCCGGCGGTGTTGGTCGGCCGCCGTCAGCGCAGGCGGCCGCCTCCGCTGCTCACTTACACCAGCCTCTGATGGACTGGGTGTGGAGGTACTTTGCTGGACAGCACGAGCCCACGCGAAAAATGTGGACGCGCGAGCGGACGCCGCCGGCTGGGCCGCTGCCGCCGCCGCCGCCACCGCAGCAGCTGCAGGCTGGGGAAGCAGCAATAGCGGCACCAGGTGGCGGTCGTGGCATCATCGACAGCGGCGTCACAGCTGCGGCTTCTGCGGCTGCACCGCAGGGGGTGTCTTGTTCGGCCCCATCACCGGTATTGTCGTCGTCGTCGTCGGTGATCGTGACGGGAATGCCGCCGCTGTACTTCCAGGTGGGTGGCTTCGACGGGGTTTTGGGGCCCAACCAGGGGCGGGGTACATGGGGTTGGTGGCCATGTTGGTAACATTGGTGGGGGGGGATGTGATAATGGTGGTGAGCCATCGACCCTGAAGACACGGACCGCTCCTGCCGCCACACTGTCCCTCCACCTCCACCTTCACCTTCACTTTCACCTCCCGCTGCTGCATTGCAGCACGAGGGCCATAGCCGCACCATCATCGGCATTGAGCGCCGCCGTCAACACCGCGTCGGGGGCGGTGGCGTTGCGGTGACGACAACGTTGCTGGTTCTGGATCCTGGATCGCCTTCCGCCGCACTTGAGGCGGCGTTGATGCAGCGGCGCGGCTGGCAGCGGTTCGTACGGCGTGGGGTGCACACGCTGACGCGGCCGCAGTACCAGCTGTTGTACGTTGACGTGGCGGCGGGGTTGACGCCGCAGGGCCCAGAGCTGGAGTCGCTCAAAGTCATCGCGGCGGTGGAGAAGTACCGGGCTGCCGCCGTCACTGCTGCGGGGTCGGGCTAGGGCAAAGGCGATGGTGGGTAAGGTTGATAGTGATGGTGGCGGCAGGTGGCAGTGGCAGTGGCGGCGGCGGTGGTTGCGGTAGCGGGCGCGAGTGCTGCTGGGTTCTTGAGCTGTAGCAGAAGAAGCTTGTCGACATGTGGACCCGAGTGTCGCACGGTCCACCGTGCCCGCTTCCTGCTGTGTTTTCACTCCGTGTGGCGGATGTCGTGGGGTCAGGGGAGGCTTGCACATCAGCTCGGGGGGAAGAACGCGAGGGATGTGCATGTTTGAAGGGTGTGGCTGCATGGGTTGAGGCTGGCGCAACCCTGGCGCCGAATTTTGAAAAAGGGTGGGTTCCACGGTGTGAGCAGTTAGTTAGGACATTTAATAGCATAAGACATTTGGTTTATCGCCACGCAAGGAGTACGCGAGCTTAATCGTTAAGGCACCGGCCAGCCGAAGCGCCGAACCAGGGCGCGTACGGGAGTTTGTACGGCCTCGGGGTCTGTGCTATCCATACTGACACAGCATCTATCCTTATGTTTAAACGTAGAGGCAGCGACGATAGTTTAATATCGTTTCGATCGAAGTGTAACGGTGAACACGACTTGCTAAGCTGCACCAACTGCTGCCTTGAAGTTCCTTGAAGTAGGCCACCACTATGGTGGCATGTACAGTAGATCAAGTAGCTTTTCTTAAAGTTTTAGCTCACGCCGCCAAGTTCCCTTCAAACAGCATAAACGGCATTTTACTTGGCAACTGTTCGGAGGGCGGCAATGTTGAAATTCACGATGCCATCCCGCTATGCCATACAACTCTGACGTTAGCACCTGCTCTGGAAATTGGACTTGCACAGGTAAGTCTGATCTTGTCCAAATGTGTTGCAATTTGCGGTCTTTACCCCTTCCTCGATTTCAGGTTGAGTCATATACGCACATAGCTGGCGGTTTCAAGATTGTAGGGTACTACCAGTCAGATGCGCGTTTCGGTCCTGGGGACCTTTCGCCGTTAGGACGGAAGATTGCCGACAAGGTGTCCGAACATCAATCGGACGCAGTGGTGATTGTGCTGGATAACAAGCGACTGGAGCAGTTTTGCAAGGCACAGGCCGATAACCCGTTTGAGCTTTTCCACCGAGATGGGACAAAAGGCTGGAAGCGCTCTGGCAGCGGTAGCAGCGCGGCTGACAGTGGGGCCACGGCGCCCAAGGTGCTCCAGCTAAAAGGCAACGATTGGAAGCAGCTGCGCGAGGAGTTCTTCACCATGTTTAAGCAGCTCAAACACCGGACTCTGTACGACTTTGAGGAGCACTTGGACGACCCGGCAAAGGACTGGCTAAATAGGAATTTCTCGGCAGCCCTCAAGTTCGTGCTGCCAGGGAATGCGCTCTAGGATGAAACGGGAAATGGGACTGGGATTCACTGGGAAGCGAGGGACTGGAAGGGTAGCCGCCTCGGGCGTGGTGTCAGCTTATCCAGCAGTTGGAAAATCACGCACGCGGCGCCAAAGGGTGGTTTTGTTGGGAGTATGCATTGGGGCTTTTTAACCCCAAGTGAGGATTGTATGTGGCAGGCGTGGATAGGGGTACGCAACTGGGTGATAGTTTTGCACCTCTGCTCTCTTGGACCCTTGACCGGGTCTCAGCTTTCAGCCGGCGTTGTCGCATTACCCTGTCGGATGACCATTCGTGGCTTCCTTCGTGAAGGCACTCGTGGTGTGTTCGTCTGGCGGCGTTACTTGCGACTGGTGTGGTGATGTGCACTGCCACTGGCCGTTGAAGGCCCTTGCGAACTCCGTATTAGGCTACAGTTGCTGGGGCATTGGGTTTGGGCTCCTCAGTGGGGTGGGGAGCGTACGCGCTTGCTTTGCTGTTCAACAATGACCTACGTATTGGTGAAGGAGGGTGGAACGGGTTTGTCGCATTAATGTAGGCAAAATGTCGTCGGTCTAGTCGGCCTTGGCATTATCTTTCTGCCTGCTTGCCAGGTGGTGCCGCTGCCGTGTTGATTTCGGAACAGGTATCTATCATTCAGCGCTGCTCCACGTCAGTGGGTCGGTCGTTGAATCTTTATGATATGGATAAAATGACCGGCCATCATGCCGTACAGTCTGACAAAATGGACGCGAGACAGCCTCTTTGCCTGTCCCCCCTTCCTTACCCCCCCGGCATATTCTTTTTCCGCTTTCTCGAAATTAGACAATTGGTTGGTGGTGTGAGCATCTCCCTAATACGACCTACTGCTAATACGACCATTCTGGCGAAGAAGAAAAGCCTTTTAACAATTCAATCCGGGCGTAAATCCCTCAAAAGCTTTTGTGGACATACACACTTCATTGCTTACATATGTCCCTCACCCTTATCCATACACCTGCAACAATAACACAACCAACATTAGACGTTTGCACATGATGCGGCCAACAAACATGTGTCCCCCAAAAAAGAGCTGTAATAGAGTAGTCGGATATCACCAGATACCACCTGGTGTGGCGTGTGTGTCCGTGTGGGGATAACATGCAAAATGCAAAGGAACTGCTCGAAGCACCGTCTGCGTGTAACAAAAGTGGTGGTGTATGTTAGGGGTTGAGGTAAATGGCGAGTGTGGCCCAGTCGGCCATCCCCCGCGGCTTTACACCATTTTTGCTTCCCTCACTTCCCCGAGATGCAACCACCACCGCCACCACCAGGGCAGGCAGGGAAAGCCAGTCAAGGCCCACACGCGGCCGAGCTGACCTCAAGACAGATCCGTTCATTATTGGCAGATTGTTCAGTAATGCAGAAGATATGGCGCAGGGACCCATACACTGCACATTTGGCGGGCAGCGCTCATGGCCGCGACCGGGTTTGAACCCAGACAGACACGAGAATACATCGCCGGCTACTGTCAATAGCTTAATCTCTTCCCTGACACTGTCAATAAAGGGTAAACGGTACATGTGCGTGGTGTGTTTGTATGCTTCATTAACTGAGCCCCTACAAGCGAAACGTTGACAACAGCGATGCAACATGATATGTGCACATGTGTGTGAGTGCGCTTACTCGCATGCTGAGCATTAATGGTTGTGTAGAGTGAGTGCGGCACATACACATCCCGCACTTCCTCCTCCTCCTCCTCCTCCCCCCTTCACTTCACTTCCCCCCCCTCACGGCCTCCGCTGTAGCGAGGTTGTGTGCCAGCATGTGCTCAATGAGGGCGGCTGCAGCCGACTGCTTGGCCTCCTGCTTGGAACGGAACTCCTGGCGAAAGGGAAGGGGGAAAAGGGGAGAGGGGCGTAATGGAGTGGGCGGGTGATGGGGAGGGTTGGGAGGGGAAAAAGAGAGCAGGGTTGAATTAGCAGGGGAAGGATGAAAAGATGGCGAAACGATGCGGTCAAGAAAGGGAGAACCGCGGATTAGATGGGACGATGTGAGTGGGGTGACGTTGGCACCCGGAATCGAATTGAGGAAGGAGTTCCGGGGTGAAGTCGGCGGGGCAAGGTTGGGGAGTGAAGGACCGAAGTAGCAACGCAGCACCTGAAGTCATCCATAAACCACGACGGCGCTTCTGCTCCTCTTCTTCCCCCTTTTTGTGGGTCAGTAACCATTCCCTCCCGATGCAGTATTTGTCTTCACCTGGAGCATCCGTCTATCGTCAGTGCTTTGTCATATCACCCCTTTCATGCACCCATTGGCTCGCCATCCCCCCATGTCCCCCCCCTCGCAACCCACCGCGCCCTCTGCCTGCGCCAGGACCTGTCCCGTGACGGTGTTGACCAAACTGGATCTGAACTTGAACCGCCACCCCAACCCGCTAGGTGACCCGGAGACGGGCCCCGGGGGGAGGGTAATCTCCTGATGCTGTATCTCCTGGTGCTGGATCATGCACAGCATATGTACATGCATACATACATACAACATACATCATACATACAACATACATACAGGCATACATACAGGCATACACACACGCGATTGCAATTGTAATGGCGGATTCTTTCTGAGGTGGTTCGCGACGGTTGTGGCGGTTGGCGGGCGCCGGAGTAACACCCCCCCTTCCCTACCTCAACCTTGACCAAGATGCCGCACTTTCCAATCGACTTCAAGCGCCTCACTTCCCAACCCAACCCATAGATGACCGCAAGGTTGCCAAGCGCGGCCCAACCAGAACACGTAGCTGAAACCCCCACCCGTGTTACCCGCACCCCTTAACCCCCTTCAGACTCACTCATCCTCCTAATCCCATTCCGCTTCCTCCCCCCCTTAACAGCCCCCCTCACCGCCACTTTAATTCGTGTTGCATACTCGTTGAGCACCATGAGAATGGTCTTCAGCCGCCCCTGGTCCGTGGCGTGTACCTGCCGCATAACCTCCTCGCACCTGCAGTGGAGAAGAGGAGGGGTGGAAGTAGAGGAGGAGGGGGGATAGACGAACCACGAACGAGTGAAGCTGCTGCCAACAGGGGGCCGTCGCTGAGGGAGAGGTACCGGCTTGTTACAACCGGCAGCACACAACGTAACTCCGATGTGAGGACGAGGTGTTTTGATACGCAGGTACGAGCAGTGCTGTTGTACGGTTGTCAAGTGTGGGGCCTCCGGTTGTGTTGGCTGAAGTCTTGGACAGGCTCGGGAGGCGGAGTGATGCGAGTAACCTTGCAGAGGGGCCCTTTGAGGCATGGCTGAAGGACGGAGCGGTGCAGCTTCAGGTATCGTTCGTGCGGCAAATTGTGGGGAGCTGCCAGACCAGCGCACTCCCTCGCACAGTTCGCTAAATTGTCGCGGCTACCCCTACACTACCACGTTTTCAAACAGATCGTGCGGCTTGTGCGGGCCGTGTCCGTTACCGCGAGGGGTCTGTGGCACACCAAGAGTTTTGCGACAGGAGATCGCAGAGGCCCTCTCCAACCCCGAAGGGGGGCCGGATGGGTAAAACCCGTAAGCTGTTTTAATGGTCTTCGGCGCCGCGATGAGGGAAATGCCGATTATGGTGGCACACGAATACCGAACGAATTCATACCGAAGCGAGCTTCGTAGTCCGTAGGTGCGTGTGTGGGGGGGCCGTATTGACGTATGTATTTACGTACATGTGTATGTATGTATGTATGTATGTATGTATGTATGTATGTATGTATGTATGTATGTATGTATGTATGTATGTATGTATGTATGTATGTATGTTTCCTTGGCAACAGGGAAACGACGGAAGGTTCCTGCCTGGGGGAAAAGAGGTGTCGACACAACTCAGCTCAGCCGAGGCGGTTCCCCTCCACAGCCTCCTCAGCTCCCCCCCCCTGGACTCCCCGACCCACCTAGGGTACGCCCCCAGACGCATGATCTCGCTGGTCAGCGACAGGGCGGACTTGGCCGCGGAGGGGGGCCCGGCGGGACCGCCGCCGCCGCCACCACCTCCCGCCGCCGCCGCCACTGCCGCCGCCGCCGGTGCGCCCGCGGAATTGGCCGCCTGACACGTCATCGCTGACAGCAGCTCCGTCGGGGGCACCTGCGCACAGGACATATCGTACAGGACATACCGTACAGGGACTGCCGTACAAGACGGAAACGATGAGGGGGATTCCGCGGGATGGGGAGGTGACCTTCATGCGTGTGTAACACGGCTACCACTCAGTGGCGAGTAACATCTCCCCCTCCAGCCGTGCAGCCAGGGAGGGGTTCGTACGAGGAGGGCGGTAGTACGGCATCACATCTCCCTCACGACCACCATTCACCCCCTTCTCCCATCATTTCTCCCATCCCCCCCTCCACTGGCGATATCTCAGCTGTCCCTCCCTTCTTCTCCCCCACCCCCACCCCTTCCCCACCATCCCCATGGCCAGCATCTGCTCCAGACACGAGGCCGCGGAGTTGTGCTTCGCATCCCTCTTGCTGGAGCCGCATGCATAGCCTGTACGGCAATAGAAGTACCCAGCATAGCAGTAGCAGTAGACGCGGGGCATTGGGCAGTAGCATCAGTCCCCCCCAGGGAATGGAGGAGGCGGAAAGGGGGGAAGAGGACGGAAGAGCAAGACGGGTGGGGCACTTTCTACGGCAATGTACGGCAAGCATCAGCACTTGCAGCAGGGTTGCAGCATGTTCGGGCCATACATGGCCCTGTCTGCCCCTGTCATGTTGTGCTGCTAATCATCAGCTAAACCAAGTGACGGCAGCGACCGCAGTAAGAGCAGCACTGGCAGGGGATCTGGAGGCCACGCATGACCAGCACTGGCCACCCCCTTCCAGCCTCCCCAGACCGCCAAGCCACCAATACGGTACCCTACCCAATGTGTCTGTCCTCAGTCGCGTCAGGTCTCCTCCGCTTGTGGCCTTGTTTACCTGGAGACCACCCTCGAATCTCGACCCCCCACCTGCCCAGTCCCCATCTCTTCCCTCCCCCTTCCCTCCCCCGTACACACCCGTACACACGACCTCTCCGGTGCTGGTGGCGGTGATGGTGGTGGTGGCCACGAAGGGACCCCCCGTGCCCTCAAGCGAACCCAGGGACTCAACCGCCTGAGAGGTTGGAGGGGGAAGGCATGGTGAGCCCGGTGTGTGTGTATATGTGCGTGGAGGGTGCGGACTGGGGCTGGTGTGACATGCATCCGACAGAAATGCAGGTTGCGGACTTCGCCACGGAGTATGACCTCTTCGCGGAGTACTATACTATACGGGGGGTGGGGGGAAGGTAATGTTCATCTGCGATTATTCCTTGGCGCGTCGGACATCGCTCTCCACCACCTTCCCCTAACCCCTCCGACTGTGCATTAGTTTTCAGCCATCACCAGCTGCTCAGAACTGTTCGTTCGCTCGTTTTTCGGAGAAGTCACAACTTCTCCGACTACGGCTGCTCCGGTGGCCCACCTGCAGACTCAATTGCCTCTTCTGGCAAACCTCATTCAGCAGCGTGAAGTGGGTCTTCCGGTTGTAGCTCAACCAGGGGTTGACGGTCAGGAGGGCCCGCAGCTGGTCCATGACCTAAACAGGCAACACACAGGAATACATGCGAAGCGGGATTAGGTAATGACAATGCGACATGAGATAACATACACCCAAAGGGGAACCCCTTCGTCTCCCCAAAAATCTCTGATTATGAAGGTGATTTAATAATGATGCCGTTAATGATGATGATGATGATGATGATGATGCAGGAGTGAAAAGAAGTAACTGCCGACAGGTCGTCCTAAGACCCCCCCGGGGACACGCGGCTCAAGATTGGGGGAAAACGATTGGCGGGTACGCACGGGACGTCTGCTGAGGTCAGAGGTGGGGGGGAACCTGACACAGAGCAGGGCCCCCCCGCAGCGGAGCCAGCTTACAACCACGGGAACCCGAATTCAAACCACAAGGGGACCCACCCGGCGAGGGGAACACCAAACAGACGAAAGAGGAAACCCTGCAATCCTAGACCCTCCCCAGCCTCCTATAACCCTCCCTGGGGGGGCCCCCCTAAATTTCGCTCGCGCTCAGGGTTGGACTCCTTCATCCCGGGGCCCGCCCCCCCTCCCCTGCCCTCCCCTCCTTTTTTACGGCTTGGCATTAGTGCTTTTCTTCCGCGCTTATTTTAGTCTTGGCGGCTAGGTAGGTAGTTTTCCGACATCTTCTTCACTACGTCATCCCGAGGTCGCCGCACTTCAAGAACGCCTTTTGGTCAGTCCTACGTCTGGTACACTCTTGCCCTAGCAGCAGCTTCACTCTTCGTGGTTCGTCTTTCCCTCCCCTCCCCTGCCCTCCCCTGCCCTGCCCCTCGCCTCCGCAGCTTCACTTCCAGAGGCCTCCTCCCTTCTCACCGCCTGCAGCTGTGGATGCGAGGTAGCTGAGGGAGCCGCCCCTCCACCTCCACCTCCCGACTGCGAAGAGGTTGGCGAAGCTGGCACAGCTCCCCCTGTTAATACTCGGACACCCGAGAGCTCCAAGGAGCCCCCGACACCAATAGCGGCTGCTGGTGCTGGTGCTGGTGCTGCTCCTGGTGATGATGGCGGCGCCAAGGCCGCCACATGGGCCGCCGGCGCGGCCGTCATGGCGGCTGTCACCACCGCCTCGGCCACCTCCGGCTTCACCCAGGCCTTCACGTCCACAGGTAGTACAAGGACACCGTTGGCACCCACCTGGCCGGTGTGAGTGGGGTGAGAGGGGGGTGAGGGGGGTTGAGGAGCGGGGACCCAGGGGGGCCGGGGCCCCGGAATCAAAGCCTAAGGGACAACGAAGAGATCCGGCGACGGAGAGGAGAGGAGAGCGCACAGATCGGACCGCAGAATGGCTGAATTGAGGAGTGGAGGACGCGAGCGAGCGACCCGTGGGTCAGCATGGAACAGGTCTTTTCCATGCCAAGAGCCTTACTTTTCATCCTTTCCCCCCCAGACCCCTCAAAGCTTTCCAACCCCGCCATGGCAACCAAGCAAGTACCTCATCAACACATTCCCACACTCCTAGACAACCACCACTTGTATCGCATCCGTACTTGGACATACGCCTGAGGTACGGCAATACACACGCACCTGGCAGACTTCGAGAGCCCTCGGCACGTCCTCGGACCTGACTGTGACGTACGCCTGGCCCACGCACTTGCCCGCTGCACTGCCAAACCCGCCTGTGCCGCCATTCGCCTTCACGCAAACTATTGAGGACGCCAAGAGCTCCACATGGCCCTGTGAGACAGGCAGGCAGGCAGGCAAGGGGAACATATGAGACAAGAACGCGGGATGCACAGACGAATGGGGGATAAGCCGGCTGTGTGATCATTAGGACGCGTGTGTGTATTGGTTTGCATAGTGTTTGAGCATAGTGTTTGAGCTGCAGCGGCCCAGACGTGTGCGACGGGGGAGAGACGTGGGGATTAGGGAAAACCCTGTCATGACCTGGCCGGGCTGGGTTCAGCCGGAGTTCGGGGAGAAGGGGAGGGGGCCGGAAAGGGAGGGTCTGGAGGCGCAGGAGGGAAGGGGGAGCGTGGGTAGAGAGAGGGGGGCCCGCGGCGGTAGGGCTAGGTGGTGGGGGGTTCGAGAGCAAGTTGGTTTTCTGTCAGCAAGCTGTGGCGGGGCCCGGGGGGCACGTGTGTGGGGCGGTGTGGAGTGTGGAGGGGATGCGCGGGATGTGGCAGTTTGTGGACTAGGCAGGGCCACAGTCAAAGTGGCTTCTGGGTCGCAGTGTTTGAAAATATGTTGGCAGTGTAGCTCCGCGAGGCGGGGCCCCGGAGTCGGGAGCGGCAGGTGTCCAGTCAGGCGGCCAACTACTATGCTGTTGGCCGCTGCGTATAGATGCCTCGCTGCAGTTGGCGAGCAGTTAAAGCGGTTTACTGAAAGGTCTACGAAACAGGGGCCGAGAATCAGAAAGCTGTCAAACTAGAGAGCAATAAATGATAACGGGAACGCGCTTCGTCGACCCGCAGGATGATCGCGCGAATGGGGTCTTTGTCTGCATAGCCGTATAGAGTACCTGGGAAAAAGCGTAGCCAAGATCCTCCAGCGTAAGGTCAGGGCTCACGCCGCCTACAAATAAAACTGTTGTCATCGTACGCCTTCCTGCAGAATAGTTGGTTTATCGTCTCCTATCGCTACGTGGTACCATACCAATCTATATTGTTGTCAGATCTAACAAAATTTGCATCCCTCGTTCAAGGTGCAACCGTAAAGAGAGGATCAAATGCACTAAGTAGTCCTAGTGCCTTTACAGAGCAGCAGAAAGCCTAGTACAGCAACAAACATGTAGGCGTTATATATGAAGAGGTCTTTGCACAATATGTGGAGCTCAGGTGTGCAGGTGTCAATCGGAAATGTACGGTTAATGGCTCCGAAGTGGCCTATGGCCAAGCACAAAACTTAGTACACGGTAACGAACCTAGCCAACAGACTGACTGGAGTAGTGGCGCCGCCAACACTCTCACGGGAAGAACCCCTTCGGTTCTCCTTTAGGGGCAATCTTATCCGACACGCTTAGCGAACAACCATACCCGTGGACCTGTAGAACCTCGTGAGCCTTGCAGCCGCCAATCACGCCCTCTGTACTGCAAACTTTCCATCGCCAACTTCTCCGGCCAACTTCGCGTAAGCTCGTGTTTCCTCCGACACTGGGAAATTGGCCATTCCAAAACACTCAATTCAGCAACGCGGTCAGTGTAGATAGGGAACGGGAAACAGTTCAGGTTTGTGCACCACAACGCCTAAACGCAGCCAGTTCGTACGCAGATGGGTACGGCATCGAAAATTGGTTGCTTGAAGTTCACTACAGGCAGCCCGGCGACAAACCACAAAAATTCGAGGCCAATAAATAGGGGGGTCCTTGTGAAGCAGCTGCCCGCGTTTCCAAAGCACGTATGGTGTTGGATTGTAAGGTGCCCAAGTACGTTTGCGAGGAAGAGAATGTGGCCAGGCTGGAGAGGAAAGTGCAGTGGCATATTGGAATGTGAGATTAGCGTAAGCGAGTTACAGGGCGTTTTATTGCACGGGCGAATTTACGTGCAAATCTTTCACCGTAGCATCAGTCCTCAGTTCACTTCTTGGAACGAACATCAGCATAGGTGCAAGCCCTCTCGCTTGGAGGGATATGCAAACAAACATCCTGATAGGGGTAAACTCGCACGCTACCGAGCATTCAACCGATCACATGCATGCTTAGTTGAATGGTGAGATGCGACCCCCCCTTCATTTCGTGCTCGGCAAGCCTGCCACCGCGTACCGGATATGTTGGCGATGTTACAGAACGCTGCACCTTGGTTTCTGTGCGCATTGCGTACGTTGCTCGACCCCGCCGACCAAAACTACACGTGCCCAACTGAAGACATTCCCGGTGGTTGTGCAGCAGCTCTTGAGGCTGTTGCTGGCTGAAATCCATCCTGATTGCAACACGGCTAACGCGGGCACGTCCCTATGCACAGCAAATAGCTGTTCCAAGCCAACAGCGGCGTCCATGTCACCGACAAGGCTCTAAACGTCTTATCTGTTCTTATGTTTAATTAAGTTTATGTATGTTATACTTTGCGCAACTTTGTAATTTGACTTTACTCTGAACAAGGTGCTGTATACGTTGCACTACCAAAAACGCGACCGTTTGCTTGCACACAACTGCCTCTTGAGTTTAGTCGGAACCATGTGCATTATGCGCTGCGCTACCGAAAGCAGGCGCCTTATGGCTTGCACACAACTGCTTCTTCGCCGAACGCTTCATCTTCCCGCGGCAGTTTCACGAGCCCAGTTTTGCAAGCTACGACGTAGGCTTTAGGTGCTTTCAGTTACTGCAAAGCAGCCACGCAATAGTCCAGCCTGCATGCCGCGTGCGACTATGGCCAACAAGACCACCTGCGCAATGCGCTGGCGCACCTCCAAGAAATTTATATACACTTGTACAGGCGCATTTTGCGAATCGCACGCGCGCATCCGCACGGCGAAATCCGCTCCTGGCTTTTTTGGGACGATGTACGAACTGTTTATTCGCGAAGTACGACCGGACACATTTGTGCGAGAGGCTGCTTAAATACCAATAAATTAAAATTGGAGTCGGAGGGCATCGATCCCCCTACCTCCCGCATATCGGGCGCTTATTGCTAAGCGGGCGCTCTACCATTTGAGCTACGACCCCATATGCACTAGCCGAGAATCGAACTCGGGTCTGGTCCGTGGCAAGGACCTATGCTACCACTATACCACTAGTGCAAGGCGATGACAAATGTTATAAATATTATATACATATACGTATTCTAAGGATTTGCGCCCAATAACCGCACTTTATCAAGGTGGCGTTTTAAGGAAGTGCCCGATTATTGTCCGGGCTCCATGCACCGGCTCATGGAGAAGTGTAACCTATCTATAAATATTATTGGTGTTTTGGGGGCCTGCCGGGTTGCGGCCTATCTACCATGGAGCTGCACAACCTGCCTAATAGCATAGTATGCACAACGGACGCACAAACACACATATTAAGTTATACAAACGTAGTCTAGTGTAGTAGACGTAAGCAATTCCTGGGACCATTCCTAGCGGACCAGGGCAAACCCTAGGCCAGCGCGTCCAGAGCGAGCTAGGCGACGCCTGGCGACGCTAGGCCGTCTATGGCTCAGCCGTACACACCCAAGACAAGCGGCAGCTAGCCCACGCCTAGATACTCAGGTGCTTACTTTCGGCGGCCTTACGGTGGTTGTCTGCACACCTTGCACTCCCTTGAGACCGCACATAGATGCAAGACACGGGCAGCATCGCATAAAAAGCACTCGTACCGCACCCGATCTCGTTCTTTCAGGATATGGGCATGCATGGCGTAAAGCATGAATCTTTCGTACGGGTGTGAGGGGACTAGTTTAAGCAAGATTTTTCGACTCTACACACATACCTGAGCCTCCAGTGTCGCTCTGCAGGTCAAGAAGCTGCTCAACAGCGGCCAGTGTCTCCAACCGCGTGAGGTGCAAAGCCGATATCGTCGCTCCGCGAAGGGCCCATAAAGGCCTAAACCATAAACGTAAAATTGTTCTTTGTTTGCGTATGGAGTTTTATGGAACTTTTGCGCGCCGTTGTCGTTCAGGGTATGGCCGCGCAGCGAGCGATTGAGAAGAAACGCCAATGAATTTTTTGGGTAGCAATCCGGGCATACTGAGACCGCCTAAAGTCTTGTACTCGATATTCCGTTTTGCTACTTTCGCTTCCTTCTGTGAAGCACACGTGGGAAGTGTGACTAAAAATCAACCGTACGGGAAGTTGGGCCGAAGCCTGCAAACTGTGTAAGGTTGATAGACAAACCGGATCACAGAATGAAAGCGGAGTAGGTCTTTCTTGCTGTATCTAGACGGTACGTATTTACCATGAGAAGCCCTTGGCTCCCAAGTTTGCTCGCATTAGTATATTGCTCCGTTTTGACGCATCGAGCATACGCTGGACTTGCTACCACTGCGCCCGATTCCGTAACTGGATTATATGTTCCAGGATGGGCAGAGAACACTGGTTCGGTTTTAAACTTCTTCAATACCAGCGCGATTAACCTGGAGGGCGTTTCGCACGTTTACTATGCATTTCTATGGATTTATGGAGGAAATTCGACCGTCTATGATCCATTTGGAAACTTGGTAAGGCCAGTCTAAAGTGTCGGGTCCACCTTCCGACACAGTCCGTTTCACCCAGACCTAATTTGGTATTCCATACTCACAATCGCTTCATAGGGTCATAGTGTACCAGCCGTTGACTTTTCTCCTGTTCCGTCACCTGGTCTACCGACGTTACTGTCTGTCCGCTGTGTCCACATGTATACGGCTTAGTGACCGGCTTGGTTGTTAGTCCCTCTTCCATAAATCGGCTCCTCCTATTGGGCACTGTTTCACATCTCGGCTGGTTCCATTGGTGTGATTCCACCTGCTCTCCTAACCGTAGAAACTACTCGTGTCTCTCAAGTCTCGCTGGCCAGCGACTAAGCTCATCCTGTCCATCGGCGGTGGTGGTTTCAGTACCACCATTTGGACCAAAGCCGCAACCACCGGCCTCACCGCCTTCGTCAACAGCGCTATCAAGGCCATGAAATCGGCCAACGCTGACGGCATCGACCGTGAGTCGGTGCGGGAACCCCCGTGTCCATCTTGGACATCGGCCGAAGTTGCCTGACTCACCTAACACCCCTCCCCTTTATTCTCAACATTTCCCAAAAAATAACAAAAATGTAATAATAATAACAACAACAATACAAAAGTGGACTGGGAGTATCCTGTCGCCAGCACCCGGGACACCTTCACCGCGCTGTGCGCCGCGATGCGCTTACGTCTGGATGCGGAGGGCGCCGCCGCCACCCCCGCCCGCCACTACTGGCTGACCGCCGCCACTCAGTCCATTGTCTCAGGAGACAGCTTCGACGGCTACGACCTCCCGGTGCTCAAGAACCACCTGGACCTGTTTAACATCATGACATGTGGGTCTGCATGTATGTCAGTTGGGGCTGGTTAGGGGTCAGCTGGAGGTCGTTGACACATTTATATAACATGCTTTCCTTATGCGAAAGAAGGTCAACAAACGCAGGTGGGGCTTAGACCCCCTAACCAGTTATTATTACGGCGGGGGCCGGTACGGTGGGGGAAGTGGGTGCTATGAGGGCGTCGCTGGGTGGTATTTTAAATGTGTGCCTGCTTACCCCTAAAGCAAATCCCAAAACCGTATTTTTTTCTTGTTTACTTTGCTGTAATCCATTACGCACAGCCAGGGCGTATCAGCGCGTTTGTGTTTGCACGTGTTAGCCAAAACAGACACCGATACACACACACACACAAACACACAAACACGCACACATACGCCCCAAGACCCACTCTGTCCTCATGTGTGCCTACAGACACCATGCACGACCCGTGCTTCTGGGAGACGGAGACCCACTTCCACACCGCCTGGGCGGAATGCGCCACTGCCCTGGACTACTACCTCAGCAAGGGTGAGGGAGGAGGAGGGCGCCTCCCTCTTTGATCTGTTGGGTGGGGAGCAGAGGGGAACGTGGAGGTGGACGGGGAGGTGGAGGGGGATTTGACCCGGGGGATCGGTTTGAGGGTGAGCCGGGTGGTGACAAAGGCGGCGAAAGTGGGGTTCGATTGATGGGCCGGGACCGGGACCGGGACCGGGAGAGGAGAATGAGGAAGTTGCGGACCGGAGTGGGAGGTTGAGGGGCGGACGGGCTGAAGGGCAGGGACGGCAGCGGGGTGATCGGGCTTTACACTCCTCCATCGGGTCAGCCCACTTGTCTGTCTGCCTGTCTGTCTGCCTGTCTGTCTGTCTGTCTGTCTGTCGTGTGCCCATGGTTCCTTATCATGGCTTGCGTGAAGGGGGGCTCCAAATACACCACCTCCAAAGACAGGAGGTGTAACTCACAAACACACGATTGCATGTATGTATATATGCATGTATGTATGTATGTATGCGTGAATGCATGCTGCTGCTGGTGGTTCTTGTGTTCGCCGTCAGGAGTTCCCCGCACCCAGCTGGTGTTGGGTCTCGCCTTCTACGGCCACGTTTACCGCCTCACCGACCCCTCGGTCTACAAGTACCCGGCACCCAGCGTGGAGGGCAGGGACTGCTCAACAATGACCACGGTAGGAGAGGGGGCGGGCTCGCGTGGGCTCGCGCGTGCGTGTGTTCGTGCGTGCATGTCTTCGTGCGTGCGTGTGTTCGTGTGTTATTGTGTGCGTGTGTTCGTGCGTGCGTGTGTTTTGGTGACCCCGGAGGGCAATCACCACTGAGTGCAGGGGGATCAAAGCGGGTCTACTGCCGACGCACGTCCAAAGCACACCAATTTCTGCTGGTGCTGCTGGTGCCCCGAGGACTCCGAAGCAGTGCTGTGCGTGTGTGTATGCGTGTGTGTGTGCGTGATTGCGGGAGGTGCAAGGAAAAGTTGGGCCGCACGGATGGCGGAAGGATGGCGAAGGTGTGTATGTGCATTTTGTATGGGCATTTTTGGTGCGGGTGGGTTGCAAGGTGAGCGGGTGAATGATATGGAAAGAGCAAAGGAGCCCCTCTCGGTGCGCCTGCGCGTTGCGGTGGGGGGACTGATGCCCCCCTTGCGGCCCCCCTGTCCGCCAGGCCACAAAACTACACACAAATCGGCAGTAGCAGAAATAGCAGTAGTCGCAACGAGGGCGGCAGTAGCAGCGGCAGCTTGTTCGTTATGGTAGTTGCAATAAACCGCCACAATGCAACTGGGCGACACACGGGGCGATGTAACCGCCGCTTGATATTCCGTCGCTTATGCGCTTCCATGTATCCTTCCGTACATTGTGTGTTGTCGTACATGCAGGTATCGTACCGTGCAATTCTACTTGAGCTCAAGAACAGCAATGGCCGTGGTGGCGTCTTTGTGGACGTGGCGCAACGTAGCGCCTATTTCGTGTACGACACGCGCTGGATTGGTTTTGATATTCCGGAAACGATGGCGCTAAAAATCAATGTACGATAACTGTACAACATGGTGTCGTAAATAGGATTTCCATTATTGCTTCTCTCCTGTTCTCAGACATACACACATACCATCCTTCCCTTCCCTACTTTTCCTCTCCCCACCCCATCCCACCGCACCGCATCTCACGTCATACCACCTGTCGTACATGCGCCGTACAGGCTTCCCGCGCGTACGGCGTGGGTGGCGTTATGATTTGGGATGCCTCCCTGGACACTCCGGACGGGTCCCTGCTGAGGGCGGTGGCTTCCCGGAACATGAGTACGACAAGGTGTGTGTGTGTGTGTATGGATGGGTGTGTAGTTTGTGGGTTGGGATTGCTGGGGAGATGGGGGGGGCAAGAGGGGTAATGGCCGAAAGGTAGAAAGGGAAGTCACAGCACGCATACATATCATACATACATGCATGCATGCATTCACAGAGGCGTACAAGCCTCCCTCCCTCCCTTAGAAACCGTACACACACATGCTATCCCCCCTTACCGGCCCAACCAACCCCTTATCCGCACCTGCTGCTGCCGCACCTGCTGTCGCTGCTACAGGCCCTGTGGGGGCGGATTTGTTGGTAACGGCGCCTGCGGCGACGCCTCCTTGTGCTGCTCCGAGTTTGGCTACTGCGGGCTGGGGGAGACCTTTTGCGGTCCCAAGTGCCGGTGGGGTTGGGGGGGAGGGGGGAGGGGCGGGACCTGAGACTGAGTGCAGGCACGACATACCATGTGCACGTACATACATACATACATACATACATACATACATGGGTCAGGCACTACTGGTAACGCACACGCCGATGCCCCCGGAGGTTCCGGGATCGAGACCTGTTAGGGTCGAAAGTCTTTCCGATGGTGGAAGGTAAAAGTGCCCCTAGTCGATGGACGGTGGTTACCTGGGATGAAGTTGACCTGCGAGCTGGCCAGGAATGGAGTTGTGTCGACCCGGCAGATTCCGTTGGATGCCGGTGGTGGGTGCGGAATCTGAGCGATCCACTGAGAAGTTGGCTAGGGTGACGGAATGAGAGGGTGCCCCGAAATACCGCGGAAGGGAAGGCAGGGTCTGCCGGGTAGCTGCCGCAGGGTGAAGATATGACCCCCCCTGTCCCACACATCATACAACACAATAATCCCTTCTTATACATCCTCACGGGTACGGCACCTGGGGCCCCAATACACACACGCCGTATTTCCCTCCCAGAGGTGGACCGTGCATCCAGTACCCCTCCCCGCCCCCCCGGCCCCCCGCCCCCCCGCCCAATTGCGGTAACGGGGTGGTGGGCGGGGGCGTCTGCGCCGTGATCTCGGAGTGCTGCTCTGTTGCCGGTGTGTGCGTGTGTATGTATATATGGGGGGGGAGGGCGCGGAAGGGTGTGCGTGTGGAGGGGGGGAAGGGAAGGCGAGGCTGGTATTGGGACTTATGGGAGGTACGTGGAAAGACGTAAAGACGTGGGGATGCTAACTATGCCAAGTGCGGGCGAACGTGTGTGTTTATGGAGTGTGGGTGTCTGGGGGTGAGGAAAAGTAATTGGTAACGAAAATGGATCAATTTCTATTTATTGCGGCATCCTGTGACGGGAATGTCGCATTTGACATTCGGATGACCTTTAAATAAACCCGGTTGCCGTACGCTGTACCGGACCTTCACAGTGGATGCCGTATCTTGGCACACATACATACATATATACATGAATTTGCACACATACGCATGCACGTAGCGTGAATGTGGAACATCCGTCGTGCATCTGCCGTACGTGCCGTACAATGCAGGCTGGTGCGGTACGGGAGAGGCCTGGTGCGGGGTGAATTGTGTGGGCGGCCCCTGCTGGTACAAACCAAGGTCGCCGCCGCCGCCTCCAAGGCCGCCGCCCAAACCCTCGCCGCCGCCACCGCCGCCACTGTCGTACGGGTGCGGCGAGGGCATCATTGGCAACGGCACGTGTCCGTTTCCGTACGAATGTTGCTCCGCCTTTGGCTACTGCGGTGCGTCCTGTGTGTATTAGGGAAAGGGGCTTGGGGCTTTAGGATTCCCAGGACAATGGCAGGAGTGGGGGTTTACGGCAGGATTGCGGGATATCGGGGCGATTTAAATATGACGGGGCGTGGACAGGGGGTGAGAGAAGGGGGTGGGAGGCCGTGCCCCACACACATGCCTCTCGCCTCCTCATTTCCCCGACCCCCCCACTCTCTCTACCCGCCATTCATCAGTCCCCCTCTCCCCTCCTCCGAGCCGCACCCTCTCATCTCCACCCGCAAAACACCCCCCTTTCTCCCACTCTCCTCCCCTCGCCAGGCACTTCTGACGCGCACTGCGGGTACGGGTGTCAGGGGGGGCCGTGTACTCCCTTCCCCCCCCCGCCGCCTGGGGACATAGGGCCCACATGCGGGAACGGCAACGTGGGGAACGGGCGGTGCGGATTCCCCGGAGATTGCTGCTCCAAGGTCGGTGGTTAGTCGGGGAGAGGCGGGTGTCGGGTAGCGGTTGAAAGTTGGTTGGTGCTTGGTTGGTTGGTGTTTGATGGTTGGGTCCTGATGGTGTGAACGGGGTTCTAGCATGGGCGCTGGAAGTTTTTGGTTGGAGCTGGTAAGGGTTAGTTGGGGTTAGTTGGAGTTTGGGTTGGGTATGAGTGGAAACCGCACATGCTTCTTGGCCGTACAGATCTCTGTGCCGTATTCTGCCGCCTAGATGCCACCGCAGCAAGGGCACAAAAGTACACATAGGGAGCGACATACATACATGCATACATCTTAAGAGAAGGGTAGGTTCCCGGAGGCTATGTTCTCTTGAGCAAGATGGGAAGAAGGGGAGGGGGGGCCCCGAGAAAGGGTCTGTGTGTTTGGGGTGTGCAGGTGGGGGCGTGGTTGTGTTTGGGGGTGGGGTGGGGTCCAAGCAAGGATTTGATGGGCGAGATACCCTCTCCCCCGTCCCCGCGCAACCCAACCCAACCACCACTACTCATGTACGTTATTTTTTTACATTGGCCTTATAGTTCTACAGGTATGGGGTCACTCATCCCCCAACCATGTAACACACACACATGGTCTGCTCAGGAAACGTAAAATTCTAACCTGCGTGTTGGTGTGTGGTTGTGATGCTTTTGTCGTTTACCCTGGTCGTACTGCCGTACAAATGCCGTACACAGTTTGGGTATTGTGGGAACACTGTGGATCATTGCGGACCCGGCAGCTGTACGGGAGGCGCCTGCTGGGTGCCGCCGCCGCCGCCACCGGGGGGTACGAACAACGACAAGCCGCCACCACCATACCCCTCCCCTAAACAACCGCCCCCTTCGGCTAAGCCACCACCGCCGTCGTCGCCCAAGCCACCACCGCCGTCGTCGCCCAAGCCACCACCGCCGTCGTCGCCCAAGCCACCACCGCCGTCGTCGCCCAAGCCACCACCGCCACCGTCGCCCAAGCCGCCACCGCCGCCATCGCCCAAGCCACCGCCACCGCCACCGTCGCCCAAACCACCGTCACCCAAGCCACCGCCACCCTCTCCGAAACCGCCCTCTCCTACGCCGCCAGGAGCAACGCGCTCGCCGCCGCCGCCGCCACTGCTGCCGCCGCCGCGTCCCTCCGCCAGCACCTTTTGTGGGAACGGCAAGGTCGGCAACGGCACATGCCGCGACCCCACCCAGTGCTGCTCAGCTGCCGGGTTCTGTGCCGTCAGCGCGGACCACTGCTACTGGTATTGTGTAGGGGGGCCCTGCTGGGTGCCGCCGCCGCCGCCGCCGGCGCCGCCGGGCATGCTCGCGTCGCCATCCCCGCCACCTCCTAACCCCCCTGGAGTCGTTACAGTGTACTGCGGCGACGGTGTCGTGGGCAACAAGCAGTGCCGCCTGAAAAACCTGGTGAGAATTCAAGTTTTTTTTCGTATTTTTTTAGGTTTTTCGTGCACGGGCATGGTCTTTGTTCTGTCCTGCCTTTCTCGCCCGTCATCACCCACCCACCCAGCACTACTGCACGCCGGGTTCTGCTGAGCTGCCACCCGCCGGCTTTCCCGCCACTGACGTAACCCCAATTCCCCCCGCACCTCCCGCTTTACCCCCCGCCGCCTCCATCACCTGCGGCTACTGCTACCGCTGCCGGAACCGTAATGCACGCCATCGCGCTCTTTTCTTCCACTGCTCTGTGCAACGGGGACAACGGTCAACTACAACGGCCAACCGCCACCAACTCCCCGACCCCTAACGCAGTGCTGCTCCGCAGCGGGCTTCTGCGCCTACTCCGCCGACCACTGCCTTCATTACTGCGTGGGGGGCCCCTGCTGGGCGCCGCCACCGTCAGCCGTACAAAAGATGATGAACGCCACGTCGTCGCCATGACCGCTGCCCATGTCGGCCGGGGGCAGCAACCCGCACATCCTGGACCAACACGATCGGCTTGGGGCCCAGTGATCTCGCAGTTACGAAAACCTGTGCGTGTATGTGTGTATTTGTGGTGCCGTGACGCTAGGGTGTTATTACGGCTTAATCTCGCACAATATGGTCGTACCGGCGCCGTACGAGTGTTGTACTGTTTGCAGGAAGCTGCGGGTGGCACGTACAGCTTCGGTGGCGGTAGCGCGCGGCTGCTGCTGTGAACCTGCGATGTATGTATTTGTGTGATATGTATATATATGTTTCTATGTGTATTGTATATATTTGTATATGTGATGGGTATATTATCTATATCTTGTCCTCTTTGCTGTTAAAACCGTCCCAATGCAGCGATGCCGCCAGCAGCGAACCCAACCAAACCTCGTCCAACAGCTCACAAACAAGACCCGTTAAAACCTCCATCCACTGCCGCGAGCGAAATCCCTGTCCACCGCCCCGCTGGTCGGGCACTGTCACACTGTGCCGCGGGACAGGTCGTGCACGGACGCAGGTCGGCCCGGCTGAGCCGGCCTCCTCTTACACAGTGCAGTACGGAAAGTCTTGGACAGCCTCGCGTTGGCGGCTGTGGGGAGGGGAGCTGCGGCCTCTACCAGGCAGTCGCAGCGACGGTCGACAGCTCGCAGAAGAGGGCCCACTTTCCCTTGTTTCGATTTCTATACCTCGACAAATGCGTTAGGGTGCAGAGGTTCGTTAGTACTTCCCCGCCTGGAGGAGCTGCTCGAATAAGTCAACTGGGCGCACCAAGGTAGAGGGTAGGACACACGGTCGGGGAGAGCAATTCTTTTGGTTGCCCCGGTCGCACTATTCCCGTGCGTCCCTAATTCGACACCCTGAACAGGCCAATTCTGACTGTCCGAATGTCCCTGCCAGGCCAATTCGTGTCCCTGTCAGGCTAATTCTGACTGTCCGAATGTCCCTGCCAGGCCAATTCGTATCCCTGTCAAGGGCCTGTCCCGGCAATTCAACTTGTCCCAGGTGTAGACCCCGTGCCAATTTCAATCCTTCTATCGAGCAATTTCGACCAATTGCGGGGTCGGCCCGGAAACTCTCAGGCAGGCATCCAGAATCGCGGCAGTTGAAGGAACTTATGAAACTTTATGAAACTCTGTAACTACTGTTGATTCTGTACATGGGCCAGGAAATGGCAGGAACCCTACACGCCTGGTTACCGTCCTCGGTTATCATTTCATTCATACATTCATTGTGTGTGTGTGTGTGTGTGTGTGTGTGTGTGTGTGTGTGTGTGTGTGTGTGTGTGTGCGTGTTCGACGAAAAGATACTACCACCCGAACCGACCCGAACCAGTGGCATGGCGAGACGCCACAACGTCAAACCCCTTTCATTCGTTCATTCATCCAATCATTCACACAGACGAAGAGATGTAAACACGCGCCTGAACACAACACTGTGGATACAGAACCGTGCATGGCGCTGGGTGGCCACAGCAACACGAGTTAACCGTGTGCTGGCGTCCACAGATTCTGCAATCAAGCTGGCTTTTCTCCAGGACTTCCAGAGCAGAGGGCTGAGACTTCTCCGCTCTGAATACTTCCATGAATGCACCATGGTTCACTTACCACCGTTCGACGCAAGAACCTAAGGAGATAATATAAAATGGCATACTTAGTATACTGGATTACAAGGATGTTCAGAAATGCTTCCCTGTTGCGTAAATGACTTCAGCTTTTGTTCAAAAGGGAACACGCCTCAGAGATGGCGCAGCAACGACACAGAGTTGTATAACTATGTCAAAAGCACTTCCGGTGATGTGCACTGTTACGCTTTAATGCGGTGCATCACGCTTCCGTACAACAAGAGTTGGGCAGCCACGTAGGCTTGAGTCACAAGCGTGTCACAGTCGCGAGCCTTACAATAGTATTACATAACTACCCAACTTCATTGTGTAGTGATGTTTATCTAGAAGCTAGGTTGCTGTCTTGTAGGAGCGGTGAGCAAATGGCCGCGATCGATGTCACACTGGAGGACATTCTGGACGATGGAGATGCCCGGGACCAGCGGACACGCAGTCCCAACGACGCGGTGCGTCATTTCTTGCTTTACGTGTTCCCATCATGCAAATGCACCATGGTGCACTTGCAACCATCCGCCTTCACTAGGGGTTCATGTAATTCTCTACTGCATCTATAGCCTGAAATGGCGGCTCTCGCGAGGTGCCTCCACGAGGCGCTGGATGGGGACGACGAACGGGTGGATGCTGTGCGCCAGTTTGAAGAAGTTCTCGGCGGTGGTGCTGGCGGCAACGGCGGCGGTGGTGGATACGGCAGTCGTGCCAGCAGGGGCAGAGGTGGCAATAATAACGCAAGGTGTCAGCTGCCGCCAATCCAATCAGGCGAGGTTTCGGAGGTGAGCGTGATGGCGGCCTTGGCGGCGATGGGGCTGTCAGCCAAGCCAGGCCTGCCGACGGCGCCGGAGGTGCCCGACGAGACCGGCGGCGGCGGGGGTGGCGGTGGCAATGGTGTTAGCGGCGCCGCTGCCGCCGCACCCCCTAATGAAGCTGCGGCTGCAGGCAGTGATGATGACGACGAGGATGATGATGTAGCGGCAGCCGCAGCCGGCGGCGGTGCTCCAGCTGCTGCCGCCGGCGAAGAAGCCCCGAAGAAGCGGAAAACCCGCCGTGGCCGCCGTGGCCGCGGCAGCCGGCGGCAGTCGAATGCGACGGCGGACGAGGCGATGACCGCAGCAGTCGTGGCCGCTGCCACCGCTGGTGCAACTGCTAGCGATGCAGGGAGCGGTGGTAACGGTGGCGGTGGCGCCATCGCAGCGGCCGTTCCCCCAGCGGACCCAGCACCGCCAGTGGTGCCGCTTTTGCTTCCGCACCTCCGCGCCGTCGGTTCCGCCAGCGGCGGCGCCGACAGCAGCGACCCCAGCTTACTCACTGACGGCAGTAAGAATGACGGCAGCGGCGGCGGTTCCAAGATCCGCCGCGGCGGCCAGCCTGCACGGACCCGTCGCCATGAGCGCCGTCGCGCCGCGCGGGTGAGCGGCGCCGACGGCGGTGGTGGCGGCGGCGGCGGCGGCCGTCGCAGCAGCGGCGCTGAGTACGCCAGTGTTCACCAAGGCCATGGTCGGGGCGCTGGCGGCGGCGGTGGTGGCGGTGGTGGTGGCGGCGGCGGCGGCGGCCGCGGCGGGCAGCAGCAGCACGGTCAGCACCAGCCTCATGGGCCTAGTGGTCTTGGTGCTGGCCAGCACCGCAGCAGCGGGAGCGGCCGCCGCAGCCTGGACGAGCCACACCACCAGCAGCACCCGCCAGCGCCGCAGCAGCAGCAGCCACATCACCAGCCGCCAGCGGCGAATGATCCGACGGTCAATCCCTTCGCCGTGCTCGCAGGCACTGGTGGTGACAAAAGCGGCGGCAGCAGTCGCCGCGGCTCTGGCGGTGGGTTGCCGCCGCGGCCGCCGACGGCTGACGCCAGCGACAGCGACGGCAGTACCGGCGGTGGTGCTGGCGGCAACGGCGGCGGTGGTGGATACGGCAGTCGTGCCAGCAGGGGCAGAGGTGGCAATAATATCGCCAGGTGTCAGCTGCCGCCAATCCAATCAGGCGAGGTTTCGGAGGTGAGCGTGATGGCGGCCTTGGCGGCGATGGGGCTGTCAGCCAAGCCAGGCCTGCCGACGGCGCCGGAGGTGCCCGACGAGACCGGCGGCGGCGGGGGTGGCGGTGGCAATGGTGTTAGCGGCGCCGCTGCCGCCGCACCCCCTAATGAAGCTGCGGCTGCAGGCAGTGATGATGACGGCGAGGATGATGATGTAGCGGCAGCCGCAGCCGGCGGCGGTGCTCCAGCTGCTGCCGCCGGCGAAGAAGCCCCGAAGAAGCGGAAAACCCGCCGTGGCCGCCGCGGCCGCGGCAGCCGGCGGCAGTCGAATGCGACGGCGGACGAGGCGATGACCGCAGCAGTCGTGGCCGCTGCCACCGCTGGTGCAACTGCTAGCGATGCAGGGAGCGGTGGTAACGGTGGCGGTGGCGCCATCACAGCGGCCGTTCCTACAGCGGACCCAGCGCCGCCAGTGGTGCCGCTTTTGCTTCCGCACCTCCGCGCCGTCGGTTCCGCCAGCGGCGGCGCCGACAGCAGCGACCCCAGCTTACTCACTGACGGCAGTGAGAGTGATGGCAGCGGCGGCGGTTCCAAGATCCGCCGCGGCGGCCAGCCTGCACGGACCCGTCGCCATGAGCGCCGTCGCGCCGCGCGGGTGAGCGGCGCCGACGGCGGTGGTGGCGGCGGCGGCGGCGGCCGTCGCAGCAGCGGCGCTGAGTACGCCAGTGTTCACCAAGGCCATGGTCGGGGCGCTGGCGGCGGCGGTGGTGGTGGTGGCGGCGGCGGCGGCGGCGCTGGCGGTCATTACCACGTGTACGGTGGTGGCCATCACGGCCATGCTGATGATGCCGCCAGCTCGACAAATGCGTTAGGGTGCAGAGGTTCGTTAGTACTTCCCCCCCTGGAGGAGCTGCTCGAATAAGTCAACTGTGCGCAGCAAGGTCAGCCGATTCTCCCTACTAATAAGGTGGCGAACAACGCGCCTTGGCACTGCTAAACCGTCTTGCCTTCGAATAATAAAATCTCGTGTCCTGCGGGCGACCTCCCGAATTCATATGCAGAGGTGTCCGCAGCACACCAGGATAGCCGACACCTGCCCACTCATGCGAGCCGGACAGAGCCGCACTGGCGCATTTAGCTGCCTGGGGCCCTCATGTTCCCCCGCACTCCGCATCCCGTAGGCAGGCGGCTGGCAGAGGTTACGGCCTGACTTCTGCTCCCGGCCGACCCGGGTTCAAATCCGCCTGCCGGCTCCTCGGGTGTTTGAGGAGTGTTGAAATGGCCCCCCATCACATGGACGATGTAGGACGTGATAAAATCAATTTGCGAGCTAACCAGGAACTAAGTTGATGCGCCGTTGATCCGCTAGATTTGGTTGGATGCTGGTGGTGAGTTGCCGAACCCAACGAATACATTCTGAAGTCGGATGGGGTGACGGATTAGGGTGCCCCTCCAGCAGGGGAGAGCAGGGACTGCCCCGGGAAAGGGGGCCGCTGGCGAAGTTAACCACCCTGTAACAACATACTTCCGGAAGGAAAAGCCGCGGCCACCACCGGGTTCCCCCTCAGCGTGTCCTCGTTGGTGCGGTTGCGAAATCCACCCACTTCGAATACAAGGTCGTATACTATATTATAGTCCACAAAAACAATATAGAGACAATCCCCCACCACGTCCTCTCTGCACGACTGAGTGCATTCATTTTGGGAGGTGACCTGCGCCTTGGCGGTCCCCAAAAAAGTTGAGTCTTGCCTTTTTGGCAGAACTCGACAAACCTACAGGAAGGAACGAACGCGTATTCAAAATGTTCAACCAAGCGTGGCCACCAAACTGCACTTGGCCAGCAGGGGAGTTATAAGGTCCATCGTTGCCTGACGCGCGATTGTGTGCGCCCTGAAGTTCTGTTAAGAAAACTACGAACGGGGGGGAATTACACCATGCTCCCCGCCGCCACTTCATCGTAAATGCATTAACCCCATCCGTGCCGGGACTATGAAATATGTGTAAAATACGGCTTCATTTAGAGTTATGATCTTATGCAAAAAGATCGACGGTAAACGGCCCCGTTCCCAGGTTAAGGGCTGTAAACATTTTCGGGTGCAGCTGCCAGTTGCACACGTTGCCGCACTTGGAAAGTTCGTCTGCGAGGATGTTGTGCTCCCGGGAAATCCGTGTGGTTACTAATTTGATATTACTTTCGATGCAGAACCACGCGAACCTGGAAAGAGCTGACTGGATTGCACCAGACATCGAACCTCCTTTGCGCACGGCATTACCAGCGACCTGGTTGTCGATATGCCACAACACACGCTGGTTTCTAAGGCTACCGTCCCTGTTTATGCTCTACAGCACCTTGAGAGCTGTGCTAAGTTTGAGAAGAATTAGTGTCGTCCTAAGAGCCTGCGGCAGTGGGGCGTAAGGGTACGTCCGCCTAACCACCAAAAGAAGGCATACTCACGCCCTGCATCTGTGAAAAATTTAACGGTATGCATAAATGGTGGTAGCAAACCGGCCTCCGGCCATCATACCGCGAAAAGGCTCCCGCCAAAACGCCAAGGGAAACCAGGTCGGAACTCAAAAGCTCGAATGGAATTTTATTGCAACATGTAGAATCTTTCATTTTGGACACGTACGATTTTGTTTCATCCGTTTCGGAGTTGGATTGCCTAGGCTTCCGTGGGTTTAAATGAATGTACCTAAAACCCAAGGGAAACCAGGTCAGAACTCAAAAGTCCCAAATGAATTTTATATCAACACGTAGATCTGTTCATTCTGGACACGTGCAACTTTGTTTCATCCGTTTTGGAGTTGAATAGCCTAAGGCTCCCATGGGTTGGATTGGATGCCTGTAAGCCTGATGCGTGGGAGTGTTATATACTATTTCTTATATCTGGTTAAAAAAACCCACACCGATACATCTCTCTGATCTTCCGTTTTTGCTTACGCTGGAGCTAACTGAATTCCAACTGTCTATTTTGCCGCCCTTCTGTCAGATCTGTAGCTCCGACCTCTGGGTCCGACGGTGAGCGGGAAGCTGTCATGGATGCCTACAAGTAAATTGCCGCCTCAGGCGGAAGTCCATACTTGCAGGAGTATGAGCGGGGCTCGTAGCACAGGCTACGACTGGGACGCTGGTCCCTGGCTCGCGGAGCCCCGTCACCAATTAGAAGCATGTGTGGGTCAACGGTGCACCATTTCGGAACTGGCTCTACGACTCATGAGATGGCTGCAACCCCGCTATTCCAATCGTTGTCTTCCGACGCCACCATCCGGCTGTGTTCTGGTTAAGATATAACACTCACACACATCAGGCGCTTACAGGCATCCATTCAACGTTTTACAGCCATGTAAAGCCAGAGGCTAACCAAGTCCGATTCGGGAGACCTTCCTCCTTTTCTGGCTCTTCTTCTCCTCCTCTCCATCCTCCTGCAGGCCCTGCAGCATTGTCCCTAGGTCTTCATGCTCCAATCCGCTGCCCTCACCCCCTGCATAGCGCGATGATGAGGACCAGGGCCAGAGGGCCCACCAGGGAAAAGACGAACCACGAGCGAGTGAAGCTGCTGCCAGGAGGAAAGAGTGCTGCGGCAGATGTACAGGAAGCAGAACTGACCAGTCGGCGGTTGTGAAGCGGGGGAAAGGACACATATACATATATATACGTATCATTGCATGCGTGTCCCCTTAGCCCCAGCCCCGGCCCCTTCTGTTCTCTCATCCCTCCTGCCTACCTCACCCTTTTCTACTACCCCACCAATGGTGCAGCCCCTGGTAGGGTGGGGTGGAGGTGGATATGTATGGGTGTCGGTGTACCGGGGTGCACCGTGTACCCACCTACCCACCTACCTGTGCTCTCCAGCCAGTCCCGGTACCTCCGCAGGTCCTTATCAGCTGGCTGCGAGGCGGAGACCGGTGCGGGGGAAGGCAGGGCAGGACAGAGGCAAGGCGCTGACCGGTGTGATGAGGTGCGGTGCACATATAGAGAGACACATCAGAACTTATCAATGCAGCTAACCTCACGGAAAAAGAGCAGAAGGGGTTGAAAGGGAAAGAATAAATCACCCTCTGTGTGGCATAGGCCCCCATCTGCCTCCTCTCACCCCATCTTTTACCTTCTCCCATCCTTTGCACCTTAACTTCCCCCCCCCCACCCACACACACTCACCTGCACTTCCCGCCATCTCCCCTTGCAGAAGATGAGGTATGCATCTGCCGCGTACCTGCCCACGCCGTACAGCTGTGTGGGGCAGGTCCACTGGGGCACCGGACGGGTGGTGCGGGTGCGAGGGTGAGGGTGAGGGGGTGAGGGGGGCTCCGAGGGGTGAGGGTGAGGGGGTCGGAATAGGGGTCAAGCTGAAGCTACAGGGAGAGGTGATGTGGGGGTTTCAGTGGGAGGGGGAGTCCTCCACACACACACTAGGGGTAGGGTCAGTATAGCCAGCTTCCCTACTTGCCTTCTCCCGCCCTATACATACTCCCGTACTCACCTGCCTGCTCAGGAACTCCTCACTGAAGCGAACCAACCTTTCAGCTCGCCTGCAGCACCAGCAGCAGCACCAGCATGATGGAAGACAGGAAATGACGCAGACCCGTAACATACCTGAAACACCTGGGCGCTTAGGCTTGTATTCATAGACGATGTATGTGCCGTACTGTACGGCACTTCTCTCTCTCACACACACGTCCACCCCGCCCACACCCACTTGTAGGGGTGTCTCACAGCAACTAACAAGTTACACGTTCGGCACACACACGTAGGGGGGTGTCCGTAAAAGCCGGGGGGCCCATGGGGGAAACATTTGATTGGCAGTGATGCGGGTACGCGGGAGGCCATCATTATTCTCCCTCGTCCGCGTCAGGTTGCAGCACCTCAGCGCGACGTGCCTGGCATCCCAAATTTCCGCGGGGTACCTGGCCAATGCCAGGGGTGGCGCCTCAGTCATAACGGTACGAATTACAGCAAAATGATACATCTGCACTTATAATACTAAAATCACTGCACGTCCCCAAAAGCAGTCCCGTCAGGCAGCCGGTCAGAGAATTGTGAGGGACCTGATCTGCACTACCCCTTGCGCCGCGACGTGCATATGGCCATATAGCACATTCCCACCCCTCATGCAGGACGAATGTGTGAAGGCATGGTAACTGACAGAACGTTGCAGGATGGATTCCTTGGCTACGGCAGGAATCACAATCCCTAAAGAAGACGAGGCTTCCCCACAAGCGGTGTGCCCTGTTGCCTATTCGGGGTCGAAATCTCATGATGAAAATAGACTTTGGACCGAACTGAGCTGAGCTGCGCCTCCTCCTCCCCTTCCACCTCCTCCTCCTGCCCCCGCTCACCTCACCTCACCTGCAGACCCAGCGGCCGCAGAATGTCCTCCACAACTCGTGGGTCGGCCGCCGCCATGGCCTCCGGAGTGGGGTACGACCGCCACAGAGGCCCGAGAACCTGCCGTACCTGCCGTATACATATAACCGAAAATTGATATATAACAGATAATTAATTAACATATGACTATGAATCAAAAAGTGAGATATGTGTGGCTCCAGACACTGCGAATGTATGAAGGTATGACATTGTGTCCCTGCACGGTTCCAGGATCGATTCCGACTATGAGCGGGAGAAATTGTCCTGACAGTAAGAGGGAAGCAACCTCATTTCAATGGACGATGAAGTCCTTGTAGGACAGCAGTGGTGAGAAGGCAGAAACGGTGCCTTCTCTGAAATAACGGGTAGGTAAAAACTGCCGGGCTAGTTGTCACGGGTGAAGCCATATCCCTCTGTTTCACACAATCAGAATGGGCTATATAAGGCGCTGCAAGCTCCGAGCGCCACCACCACCACCACCACCACCGCACGTACGCGGTACTGGTAGTGGTTCCCGCGGTTAATAACAAGACACACCCCATCAATAGGTAATCTCAAACCCATAAACAGCAACCTCTCCCACCCCTCCTGCCACGAGCTCTCACCCCGGCCTGATAGATCTGCACAGCGAGACCGAAACCCCGTCTCTCCCTGGAGAACCGTTTCGAGTGCATAGTAACGTGCGGCGATCTCACCGAAACACAGCTGGACCCGCACGGGCACCCCCCACCCCCCTACCCCCACCCCAACTGGCTAAGCTGCTACCTGCCGGCCGGTTGTCTTGTTAAGCAGGATACAAGCCACCAGCAGCCGCCACGGGTTGTCGTATAACACCTCCTCAATAAGGCCCCAGGGGCTTGCCGGTGGTATCCAGGTAGGCACTCGCGGGTCAGGACCCTGTCCCTGATCCCCCTCGCCCCCCGCTACCACTGCTGTCACAGCTGCTGCCCCTGCGGTTGTCTCTGTTTCAGCTTCTGCTTCTGCCGCCGCCGTTGCCGCTGCTGCCATTTTTGATGCTGTTGCTGTTGCAGGCGCTGCTACTACTGCTGCTGCTGCTCCGCCCCTGGCCCAGACCTTGTGTTGGCCCCTGCGCGGCTGTCCTTTGCATCGAGCTCCTCTCTCCCCAGTGCACTGCGAAGCCGGCGGTGCCAGTACGACAGCCGGTGCTGTAGCTGTCATAGGAACAGCAGCAGCAGCACCGGCAGCGCCAACAGGATTCACGCCAGCAGCAGCACCAGCAATAGCAGGAGAAGCAGCACCATCAGACGCAGCAACAGCAGCAGGGAGAGTAGTGCGAGCAAGGGCCGCCTTCTTCCGCTGTCGCCATCCGCCACCGCTCTGGCGGTGCTTGGGGCGATGGCGACCCGCTGCAGCCCCACCTGCCGCGGCAACCAGGGCGGTTGAGCCCTCAGCCATGTTCGCCGCATCCTCCCCCGCCGTTGCAGCCGATAGCGTTGATGCCGCCCTCGCATCGGATGCCACCAGCAGTGAGCTTGGCGGCAAATACGCAGCCACATGTTCGTTTTCTCCTCCTGCCTTTACATATTTTTTCACGTGCTGCTTCAAGTTAGTCTTGACAACCACGTCGGCAACGCTGGGTTGGGGCGTTGGGTGCATGAGATGCGGGGGAAAAGCGCCTCCGCCTCCGCCGCTATCGCCGCCACCGTCGGCGTTGGGAGAGAAAGGGGCAAGCAGAGGATCGGGATCGGGTGTGCGGAAACCTTCCTCTTGGAGCCCGCTACTCCGTGCTTTGTGACCTCTCAGAACCTGAGCCTGCAGCCATGCCAGCAGAGGCACGCCAGCAGCTGGGGACAGCTGCGGGCTGTCTGGGGACAGCTGCGGGCTGTCTGGGGACAGCTGCGGGCTGTGGCCCATAGGTTTCTGCGCGGTTGTCTTCAAACCTAGGGCAGTTTGGCCGTGCTGGCGCCCATGCGGAGGATTTATAAAAGTAGAGCGTGCAAATAGGATTTCAGTGGAAATTGTTGCTGCTGCATCTTGCGCTAAAGATGGTGTCGTAGTCCTTTCCTCGGCTGCAATCGCCAGAGTTGGCAGTGTTGGCAAAGGAGAATTAGCAGCAACGATGCATTTGACGGCCCTGATGGACATATCGAAGCTGCTACAAGATGTTGCCGGCATCACTGGTGTATCGCAGCTTGAGCCTAGACTGCCGTGAGTTGAAACACCTCCCTCCAAGACAAGGCGGCGGCGTTTTCCGTGATCCGTCTCCATGTAGGAATTTAAAATCTCTCTATTGCATGTCTAAGCAAAGTTCCGTGCGGGGAAATGCAGTCGTTATATGTCGGACTTGAAGCCTTGATTCCCCGTTGTGCGTCGCGTTATGTTATGGAATATGAAAAGGCCTAAAGGAGAACCCTAATTGCGTTACTTTGAGCTTGGCTGTCAATGTCCACGCGTGCCGTGAATTGCATCGTACGCTTCGTTATAGTACAACGAAGTGAACGTAGGCAGGGATGTCAGAGATTGCATAGCAAACCATTGTGCGCTCAAGCCCGGCGCACATAAGGTCTATTCATTTGGTTGTGAACTCCTGGCGGCCGCGTAGGCTCGCATTTAGGCAGGCAGCTAAAAATGCCTGCATACGTTCCCCCAGCTTTGCGAGGAGTCGCTGGGCAGCAAGCAGAAGGCCAGCCTCGGCTGAACGAGAGGATATGGCGCGTGACCCTAGAGTACAGTTCCGGTGGTCCTTTCGACGTAACGGAGTGTCCTGAGACCTTGACTGATGCTGTGGAGCCTGATCAAACACAAGACGTAGGTATTTGCATGATTGGGCGCTGCATTACAGCCACAGAGTTCGCTCGGCTGACTCGCGGATTTACGGGACAGCCGCCTGGAGGCTGTTGGGCTGCTCCATTGTCCGAACGCATTTCTGTCGCTGCCTCAGCAGCATGTGCTTACTGCTTTAGGAATGATTATCAAGCTGTCCTGCCGGAATGTTGGAAGCGTGCCTTGACGTTGACGTCAGCTGGCCATGTCGGCACCACGACATCGGAACTTGTTCCCTTAAAACACAAGCTTCGAACGGAAATCTTGCTGGAAATTTGTCTGTGTCCGGTACCGCTGCACCAGGTCGTCGTCCGGCATTTCGAGTTGCCGTCGGAAGCCAGCACAAATGAACTGCGAGAGCTGTTAAAGTGGTTCAGCAAGGCGAGCTCTGTGCCGTCAGAGCAGCACCTGCAGGGTGATGCGAGGCAAGTCCTTTTACCCATGTCGTAAGGGTAGCAGCATCGGAAACGTGGGCCAGCCGCCGGGGCGCCGATACATCACGCGCATCGAGATTGCTTCTGTGCACTGCTAGCTGCAGCTGTATTGCGGATTGGTGTGATGGTGGTGCCGCACGCTGACACGATATTGAGCTGACCTTTCGTGACCGGGAGTGTCACTGCGCGGTTTCGATGTTGTGGCGTGCTGTGGCACCAACTGTCCTAAGGCCTCCGCTCTCCCCCTACTCTACCGCTTGCGCCCCTTCCGCCTCACCCCAAGGCCCGAGCTCCCACCGCTTCGCCGATCCCCCCTTTGACTTCCTCTGTCCCTTTCTCCACCGCTTTCAGTCTTCCATTCAATCCGCTGTCTCCATCCCCCTCTCCCTTCCCTGCCCTTCACCTCCCACACATTCGCCGTTTGGTGCTATTTGGACGTCGGCACTTGGGGTTTTGCAGCTTCTTGCACGTGTTCATTCACCCCTCTTGCCCTCTTCCCCCCCACCACCCCGAAGGCCACCCACCCAATCAGCCCCAACGGGGCCCTGTAGCTCCCCCCACTAACCAGCCTGGGTCCGTTAGTCCCTTCCGTACTCCCGTAATTACCCACCAACACCCTTCCCTTCACAGACACCGTTCGAATCCCCCGGTACGGCTGTGTCGTACCAACGCTACCCCAAACCCACCCCACCCGAGGGCACTTCCCTCCCCCCCGCGTTCCCCCTACTACTTGTCCACACGGACCGTTCTGGCTAATGTCAAGTCACCAGTCGCACTTCGCACTTAATGAGCACGCACCCCCGCCCCGCCCCGCCCACTTTCCCCCCCCCCGCACCTGACCTCCCCTGCTCTCCCTTCCCACTCCCTACCCCCAACGCCCTTTAGGTGCACGCTGCTGTTTCCCCTCAGCCTGAGCAAGGAAGCTCGTAAACACATCCACCAGCTGGCGCAGACACTCAGACTGCCGACGTTCAGTAAGGTGAAAGGGGATGCGGCCAGTGGGGAGGTCATGCGGTGGTGGTAAGCCCCGGACGCGGCCTCAGTCCAGGAGGGCGCCCTAGGGGAGCGCCGTAGGGTGGCAGGGCAGGGGTTACCTAACACGTCATTGTTGGGGTTTGGGGTGAGAGCAGGAGCAGGAGCTGGGAATGCCATGACCACCTGTGCTGCCCGTTACTGGGTGCCAAACACAGCTCCACGTGACATTGGCCCCCCGTCTCCCCGTGTTGCCCCCCCACCAGGGGTTGGGTGATGAGCGGCGGCTGATGGTTCACGGGGTGGGCTTCCGCGACACCCCGGAGATGGAGGCGGAGGTGGCGGCGGTGGTGGCGCGGAGGAGGGCCCCCGTGTCGGTGCGGGATAGGGCCCGGCAGATCTGGAAGTGGTGTCAGGTAGGGGGGGAGGTAAGGGGGGGGGGTGCCCTCAAGAGCCCTGTCGCACAGACCTGGGCGGCGGCCGTCTTGTGCGTGTGTTGCCTGGGTGGTCGGGTCCGCGCTCACCTCCCCACTGCCACTGGCCTGGAGGCCTGAGGCCGCGCCTCCTCCTCTCACACTCCCTGAACGCTGTAATGTGGTATGTTGACCTTTGGGGTGCTCGTCCTGGGTGGGGTGGTGGTCGCGGACCTGATTCTGTTGCTGCCACTGCCACTGCTGCTGTCGAACAGGCGGACGGCGGCGCATTGTGGAGCCTGAGCCAAGGCGAGATCGAGGTGGGAGGGTGTGTGAGAGAGGCGATGATAATGATGAAGATGAAGATGGGTAACATCTGGCCTTGTTTGTCTCCTCTCCGAAGCTCACACCAACATCCTCAACCGAACCAACTTGGATTTCCCTGCAGCTCAAGCAATTTTGTCCAGCACAAATGCGATATAACCGTTTCCTCCCTTCTCCCCGTTTCATAATTACGACCCCCTTCCTACCCCCCTGTCTCCTCCCATCCCCTTCCCCCTCCCCGCCCCGCCGTCAGGAGTACTTGCTGGCGGCCCCTGACGAGGCGGCTCTTCCCGCCGCGGTGAAGGACCTGTTGGAGAGGAGGTGAGGGGGTTTACGGCGGGGGATGGGGTTGCGGGGGAAGGGGGATGGCGCGGGACGGAAAAGGGGTTTAAGAGAGGGGACAGGAGGTTGTGTTTGCTACTACGGGATCACGGCGGGACCCCTGGATGCTGGACAGGGTTGAGTGAAGGGGTTCCGCGCGCCCAACCCCATGCTGCTGTACCTGGTAATCTTGAGCCCCTCCTCTTTCCCCCTTTCCTCCTCCGTCAGAGAGTACGGCAGCGCCCTCATCGCCGCCATTCGGTCTGGGGACACCCCCGCTGCCTTGGCAGTGCTGGAGGCGCACCCCCGGGCTGCGTGGATACGGGACGAGGGGGGTCCGCACACCGGGGGCAACCAACCAGCAACAACAACAGCAGCAACAACAGACGCAGCAGCCTTCACAGCAGCAGCAGCAGGCGCATGCTGCATCAGGGGCTGCTGCTGCTGCCGGAGGGGCCGGGCCTGACGGAGACGATGGTGCGGACGGGGAGGGTCCCGGGTACTACCCCTTGCATTTGGGGGCCCTGGCGGTTATGGGGGAGGTGGTGGAGCGGATTGCGTCGCAACTTGGTGAGCGGGAGGGTGTTGGTGGGAGGGTGGTGACCGGGAGGGTGGTGGTGTTTCTTTTGAGGGGTCCGTGAGACAGAAGTAAGTCCTGCAACTGCCCCGGGGGGGGGTGAGTGGTGTGGTATGTGCGTGTACGCTGTCTGTGTGTGTGTGTGTGTTGGCTGCTGCTGCAGCTGTAGTGGTAGTGGTAGTACTAATAGTAATAATAATAGTAGTAGTAGTGGTCGCGGTAGTAGTGGATGTACTCGTGCTAATATGGACAGGAGACACGTGCACGTACCCTTACATGGCCACGTCCAAACGTTCTGCTGCTCCGGATGCTACACACTTGCTGCCTGTTTTCGCCACCTCCTCCCCCCCCCCCGGGCCCCGTCAGGCGCTGTCGAGCAGCGGGATCGCAACTACGCCACCCCCCTCAAGGTGGCCAAGAAGGCGGGGATGACCGCCATGACCGCCATACTGCTGGGGCACGGCGCCAAGGTAGGTGGAGGGCCGGCCTGCCTGGCCGGCGGAAAGTAAGGGAGGTGGGATACATGCACGGGGCAGCTAACAGGAAGCCGCATTAAATCACGTCCAAGCCAGGCGGCCTCTTCGCAATCC